TTGGGCCTTTCTAGGATCCATGGCAACATGCCGGATTTTCGGTGCTGCAAAATGAATGAAATTTTCTTTGCCAAATGCAAAGAAATCTCTTTGCAAATTGCATCAACCTGTTTGAGCCAAGGCGCATGCTCCCACGAGTAGGCCTCGGCTGACACTTGGCGGCAGATGCCATCAACGTCATCGTTGATAATCCGTCTCCACTCCTGTATGTTATGCTGCTTGAAGTAAAGCTGGTCTTTATGCGAGGGGACCCACGTAACTTGTGCGCGGCCCTTTTGGTGCCACACGTTAGCCCACGGAATTAAGCTATCCTGCGGTGGTGAGGATTTTTTCAAGATTTGCGTGACACTCTGACAGTCGATCGTCACGTCAAAATCACCAGACACCCATTGGAAAAGCTCCAAAAGAGCCCTTTGTTCCGCAGCAGGCACCGTGAGGTCTTTTTCAAGACACGCGATGCTAGCAACTCTTTGAGGGCCGTCTGGAGTTAAAACGTATGCAGCAATGGCCCACGACACACACCTTAATCGGTCGTCAGAGCTGCCCGGACCCCCGGAAGCATCGGTAGCAAACACAAAATTGGAAGCATCAAGCACACAGCCTTCCTTCCACAACCCATCGACGCGGAGGCCCCTCTCGATACCTTGGTGGAGCTGCATTCTCGTCTTACTCCATGGCACAAGACCCCGGAGCCACAAGCTTTCCCAAGGAAAATCTTTGCGCGCCTGTGTGAAATGGGGAGGCTCCGGGAATTTGGTAGTCAGGGCTGGGCATTCCCACAACACATGCTGAAGATTCAAACGGCACTTGCACTGCTTACAATAGCCAGGTTTGGACTCGCTCAAAAGCGCCCCCTGCCAAAGAGCTTTGAGACTCACAAGGGTGTTTTTGTTGAAAAATTTGGTTTTCAAAAGCTTCTTAGGCATAGTCAGGTCAACACCCTGGACTAGCAAGTGGCACCCTTCCAAATCCGAAATGCGTTGCCTGACCTGTAACTGGTGCAAACCGGAAATCCACTGCAGCACCTGACGGCAAGTGTCCTGTGCCTGCCAATCAACCTGAAGGGAGCCGCTGTTGTGACGCCAACGACAAGGCTCGGCCGCATCAACACCCAGCTCACTGAGATAGGCCTGTGTGGCGGCGAGAGGACCAGCAACTCGCAACCAAGGGTACTTGCCCCCATGAAGCCTTTGCCACTGCGACCGCCATGCACTGTGGAATTTGTCATGTTCCTGAAGGGCCCACTTGTGGAAAACCCTAGCCACTGCTTTAAAATGGTGCCTTAAAATCGTAGCAAAGGGATCCTCACAAATGTGTCCCATGACCGTGAAAACCAAGTCAAGTGATCCCAGCTTTTGACGCCCGAGATGCTTAGCCGTAATGGTGCGGTACCACCTCCGGCGTTTCGGCGAAACTCCCAATGCTTGGTGCCCGAACAGACCAGCCATCCATAGGGAAGCGCGCACAATTCGGATTCTGTGCTGCTGGTTCGGCACCCGCAACTTACACAATTGGGCGTGCCTGGCCTTGGCTTTTTGACGCCTCTGCTCTGCAAGCCCCAAAATACGTCTTCGGACCCCGCCGGAGGTGACACCCAAGTCTCGGGCAAAAGACTTAACGACAGGGTCCATGGGGCACCTAAGCTTATTGAGGGCTGTGGCTGCCTGTGCAGTGGTCGCCACAAAGCAAGTTTTGTCCATGGAGAGGCTGGCACCCCTGTCGATCAGAGAGCGACGGAGGGTTCTGAACAGTTTAAGGCTTGTGCGGGCAGCCGCTTCCGCGGAAGAATCCACTGCATCAAGACTCAGATCATCAACCCAAACGTCCAAGTTCGTGGCTCCAGTCTTAGAAGTGATGCAAGCTGCAACCGGGTGGATGATGAGTTTTGCAATAGAAGGTGCAGCTGGGCAACCAGCAAGCACTCCTTGCAATGGCCAAATTGGTGGTGCAATGGTACCCTCGGATTGCAAAAACCTAGGCGCCGAATACACTAACCAGGCCTGGTGAAGGATTAGAGGCGGGTAGCCAAGGTCCAAGCCGGTCCTCAACATGTCACTGAACCTACATCGATCGTAGAAGTTTTCCAAATCAAGAAATAAAGTGATCATATGTGACTTGGCGTGACGAGTGGCCTCGCCACGCAGCAAGCGTCCTAATGCCACATCCAACACTTGGGATCCTGGCAGGGCCTTGTCCCAAGCCGCTTTAGAGGAATACGTCACCTGCCATTCCGAAATTAAATTCCACCGCAGCCGGATGTACGAACGGTAAAGGAAATGGAGGAGAGCAATAGGACGCTCTTTCTTGTCACTCTTAGGCAGCAAAGAAACGAGTGCTACGACAACTTGTGCAGGCCACTCCGCTCGCATCTCACAAGAACGCAAAAAGTCCAACACCGCTTGAATGGCCTCTCCTGACATGTTGCGCAGCATGTCTGCCGTCCAACCGTCGACGCCTGGGGCTTTCTTGGCTGCTTTACGGAAGTACGCGGTGGCCCGCTGCACAGAGATAGGAGGTAAACTTTGAGCCTGGGCGATGGCTCGCTGTTTAACTTCCTCAGCCAAATGCACATCAACTTCCCCAGCATCGGCATCATGCCAGACTGCATGCCACTGGCGCCAACGCAAGTAGATGCGCTCCTGCAGTGGTGATTTCAGAAAGGGCCTCAACGTTTTGCTTTCATGCTGCTTGACACTTTGAAAAAGCGGTCTCATGCCACCTTTGCTGGACTGGTCAAGCCATTGTTTGTAGGATTTAGATTGCGCCTGCATCCAAAGTTGAGTATTCTGCTGCAGCTGCTGACGGACAATTGGCACAAGTGAAGAAAGCAGATCATCCGAAAAATGGGCAAGGAAGTCTGCAACCTGTTGCGAGCAGGCTTTGGCGGAATCCGGGTCGCCGTGCCAATATTGGATGATGCAGGACACAACCTGGGACCCCAAGGGACACTTCTGAGGGGTTTTCTGACACGCTTCCAGCCACGAAAGCAAACGGCCCCAAAATGCGCACTTTTGACCTCCCCAACCTGCACCTGGCCTGCCTTGCACTTGCATGGGTGCCCGAATCACAGGGATATGCACGCCACGGCCCTGGACGTTGCCGAAAACAGATTGTTCCACTGCAGAGGACAGGTCCGCAAATTGCTGGGCAAATGCACGATCCTTAATCTCAAGGCCAAGCACACAAAGATTGTGCTCACTTTGCCGCGGCTCAAACGTCTGCGCCTGCACCTCCTGGGGTTTAAAGGGCTTTACTTGCGGAACGCTGAGCAGGACGTCGGACACCTGCCATTCCCACTCCAAAGCAGCATGTGGCTTGAAGGGAGTGAGCCACTGAGAGCTCACCCTCACAACATGTGACAGTGACCTGGAAACCAAGCCAAAATCAATGCGGCCTCCGCTAGCAATTGTGGGGCCTTCGGGGGCTAACCAGGCTCCTTTCGCTTCTAAGGCAACGTTGGTTGCAGACAAAGTTTCGAAATCATCATTAAAATCACCTGCCGCAATGTATGAACCCCTAACCGAGGCAAGGAAAGGAATCAAATGCGACATCACAGCAGAATTGGCAGGGCTCTGAAAGCCTTCACCGGACTTCAAGTAGATGTTCACCAGGTAGAGGTCGGTGCCTCGTACCCGCATGGCAACAGAGTGGAAGCCCGCACCTTGGTGTGCAAATTGGGCCGCCTGCCTGACGTCAAGATGTTTCCGGACACAAATGGCAAGCCCTCCGGAGTAGCCTCCCTTTCCGGTGGCAATAGCAGGTAGCTGGAAGGCCTGGAACCCATGTATGCCGACAGCATTGGCGAGCTGTTCTTGCTTGTCCTTTGATAAATGAGTCTCTTGCAGCAAGAAGACATCTACATGCTGATCAGCAATCCATTTGGCAATGTCCTTGCGCCAAACAGTGATGTTGGCACTCGTGACACGGAAGGTTCTAGGCTTAGAGGGCTTCTGAAGGTTGGCAATGACATCTTCCGAGGCAGAAACAGCCAGCATAGGCTCATCGCCATGGCAGGCCTGCATGGCAAGGTCTGCTGCGAACCATGGGAAACTGCCCTCCTGGATAAACCCTTGTTCCTCAAGTTCAGAAACAATCTCAACCACTTTATCTTCCTGCACTGGCTGCAATGCCCTCTGCAGACGCTGCCACAGCTCCAGATGACGATCAGCCTTGCAGGTCACCCCCCGCTCGCTCCCATCAAGAGGGGCCGGGACAAGCTCTTTTGCATCATCCCGAAAGGGGGGTAAAGCGGCCGAAGCAACCCCCCATTTTCGAGTCGAAAATGGGGTTTTACCAAATCCTGATTTTGGCTCATTTTCCCGCCAGAGCGAAGCCTGCCGCAGTGTGGGTGTGGCCGATGCAGAAACCAACCGAGTGCCGCCAGCGGGGCGCACATCGGGCAAACATGGGATGCGGCGCACATCAGAACTGCGGTCTTGCTGGCGACACCTGCGATTATACCTGCGCCTAGACCTTCTGGACTTTGGGGCCTGCGATTCAATATCACCCCTAGCGGTCAGCACAACCTGAGCACATGGAGCAGCGACAGGGGAAAAGGCCTCAGCCCCATCACCTGGATCGACATCAACATAGTCACCCAAAATTTCAGGATCGATCCCTCTGAAAAATTTTGGACCCGAAATGTAAACCTGCTGAGGCTGGCTCTTTGCAATGCCACGGTTGGCATCAAACTTGAGCAGGCAATCAGGGCAAAACTGAGTGACATCGCGAAGCACAGTGCTGAGTTCCACACTGGGCTTCATGCAAAGAGCCTCCTGACATGCCACAATGAAGGCAATGGTGTCTGAGTGTGGATGCAAGGCCAACGGTACGCCGACCTCACAAGCAACGCAGCAGTGCGGCCTTGGGCAAAACATTGGGTTAGGGCCCTCAGCAAGAGGGAGAGCACACGGGTCAGGGCTGGGGATAAATTCAAGACAGCCATCATTGCTTGGCATCACATTCGGTCCCCCAGGACCCCGGGCCAGCGGCCCCCCCACCTCCTGATGAAGACTCCCCCTCCTGGTAAAGACCTCCACCGCCATGGGGGTCCTGGGGGCTCCCTGTAGACCCAGGGGCTGTATTGGAGAAAATTGATCAAGTTGGCCATCAGCTGATAAAGACTCCGGCACACTCCCAGCCGAACAGAAATTGGGGTTAGGGCCCTCAGGTGGAGGGGAAGCACACGGGTTCGGGCAAGGAAATGAAACCTCACTCATGGTTGTCTCCTCCTCGAGGCCACGGGTGCTCAAAACGAGGTGTGAGTCCTCACAGGACGGGAAGGCGCACTGCACAATGAGGTTCAGGCCCGCAGGTGGAGGGGAATCACACAGGCCTGAGCCTTCTTGCACCGAGTCCTCAGGACCCTCACGCCCAGGTTTAGCCCCAAGGATCTTGCCTGAAAACAGAGATGGGCCAGTCAAGGAATTTGAAGAAAAATTGGGGTTAGGGCCCGCACAAAACGGGGAAGCACACGGGTTAGGGACCTGAAATGTCTCTAGCCCACCTAAGCTCCCACCCTCGGGCGTTAAAATGACAGGGATCACAAGCTTGCGCTGGCCGGAGGTCTCACAAGCGGTGGAGCTGAAAATCCTGCACACAGATTGACCTGAAATCACATAAGGATCTGCCAACACCACCTGAGAGACTGGAACACACGGCCGCCAAGTGGAAACGCACTGGCTGCACACTGCCTGCAGGGAAGGTTGAGGCCGAGGGGAAACAGGTAAAGGCGCAAGGCAGCTTGAGCACTCCACGGCACTGGGCCCAGACCCCAAACCCTCACACGAAGACTCGAAATCCCCAACACAACCTCCTAAAACCCACCCTTGCAGTACTGAGGGTTCGGCATGCAGACGGCCCGCACGGCTTGAAACCAACGCGGCCTTTGCACAAGGCTGGCACATGTCATACCCTAGGCCGCCTTCCAAAGAACTCACAGTTCGTGAGACAACAAGCGGCGCAGCACAGAGCAAACAAGGACTGCAAAAATATTGGCTGTAAGCTGGCACCTCCGAAAGACGCTGACATAAAGATCGGCTCAAAAGCAGATTGCAGAAATCTCCAAGGCCTGGTCCAGGACCGGGTTCATCCGCACTGGAGTGTGGCCCTAAAGGTGGGAAAGGTCGGGATTTTAGGGCCGGCAGCAGCCCCGACTCATGAAAGTGTACACGTTTTGCACGGCTTCGGCCTTCAATCAAAACACCCCGATCTTGTTCAAGGTAACCACCAACCCTAATCCCAGACCCCTATCCCTGAGTCCGACCCCTACTGCGCGAACGCGGCTTCTCGCGTGTCCCATCCTGGACAAGCTGCTGGATCCCCTGCGGCTGGGAATTCGATGCTGGCGGCTCTTCAACACTGTTGCTCAGCCGGGTGGCTTCGGCCGGGGCCTGCTCTGTATCAATGTCCATGCTGCCCTCTAAGAGAGCCTGCTGCTCACTGCTAAGGGTGATACCACACTGAGTCAAGGCCAAAAGCACAGTCGCTTTGTCGGGCACGGACGAAGATTCAGCACCTGATTGCACCTTGGTCTCAAGATCCTTTTGAAGCTGCGTCACCTCGGATTGCTTATCAGACAGCTCAGTTTGGACATTTTTCATCTGATCAAGAAGGTCAGCGTACACAGCTTTTGCCCGGTCAATCTTGATTTGAAGTCCGGCTGATTTCTGGATGAGCTGGCGCAGCTCACTGGAACTAGACTTAAACTTCTTAGTTGCCGAGAGCATCAGCTCTGTGGCCGTGGGTTCTGGTGCACGGGGCTCCAAACTTTCAATGGCCTTCTTCAACGAATCTGGTAGCTGATCCATGTGCGCCTTCACAAGTGACTTGAGATCTGCAGGCTCAGCATGATTGGGGTCCTGGAATCCAAGCTGTTGCAAGAGGGACTTCTGCTCGGGAGAAGCAGACGCCCACAGGGCTTGCGTAGCAGCCTCACTGTCCTTCATTTCAGGATGCTTGCCTTTGCCTTTGCCCTTGCCCATGCTGCCCAAGAAACCCGTGAAGGGAAGCCCTGGGGGAGGCTCAGGCTTGGACTCTTCCTTCGGTTTCCAGCCTGCTGCCACAAGCCCTTGCTGCACTTCCGGGGAAAACTTATCCCACAGTGAAAGCAATGCCTTATGAATCTTGGGACCAGGGCTGCGAGGCTGTGATCTCTGAGGCCTGGCTGCCTCAACTGCACGATCCTTCCAGACACGCGCTGCAGGACCTCGCTTCACACCTGGCCAGCGTTGGCCGCACGCCTTGCAGCACTCCAGTTTATCGGCTCCGATACGGTCACTCCAAACCCAGGCGCCACATTTGGCGCAGACCGTATACGCACGGTTTCCAGTCATACTGGCTGTCCCAGTGTACTTGCAAATGGTCCTTGTGCGTCTGCTGCCGTCCTTCAAGAAAACTGTACGCAAGAAAGTTTGGCAACAAAGGGCGATTTTGCAAGCAAGGCCCTCAAAACAAACTTTTCCAAGAAAATCAAGCGATCTGTGCAAGCAAGAAGTTTCAAGGTTTCAAGTTGCAGCGGTGTTCAAGCAGATGGCGCAAAGAGCGCCTGACAAACTACGGCTCCCGCCCAGCCCTCGCCGGCTAATCCGGCCTACGACCTCTACGAGGTTACGTTTGGGTTCTGTTCGAGAGCACTAGAATGCAGGCCTCAAGGCTGGCCACGTCGGCACCTCAGTTTGAGCACTCACGGCAACTTGAGCCACCCTGGCTACCTTGAGCCAAAATGGCTACGGAAGATGGGAGATGGGATTTTCTCGCACACGCTTCGCAGAAGCAGCCCGTAGGCTTGTCCGACATGCACAAATTAACTCCAAGTATTTTGGAGTCATCCGCGTTTGCGGGCATCGCCAAAGTGGCGGCAGTGGCTACTCCTACCCTGAGCTACAGGTTGCCTGACCTACCTGAGCTACTGGCAGGAGTGGGTAGCCACTTCCTGGGAGTGGGGAGCCACATCCCAGTGAAACAGGACGAAAGTCCTACACTCACCCGGAGGGGAGGAACCCTTCACCCTGCAGAGCCTCCTGCCTCTGCAAAGGAGAGGGGAGGCTAGGAGGCCAGAAACCTCCTGACCCGCTCCTGATGCCCTATGTTCGATTGTAGGGCACCCGACCCTACAAGCGTAACAAAAGAGCCCATCCGGGCTGTTGACTGCACGGTGGGGTCCATACGAGGGTGGTGCCTCCACATCCTCTACAAGAGCTGAATCCGAAGAAGGCTCTTGAGGGGGGGGGCCCCGTCCCTCCTGTAGACCCCGCAGCCTCGCTGAGGGAGGGCTCGCTGGCCTCGGGGACCTCTGGCTGCAGGGCCGAAGGCCCAGTAGCCATGAGGGTCCTTTCACCCTCGCGGAGTTGGTCGCCCATGGGCAACCGAAGGTCCAGGATCGCCTCGTCTGGCCAGACCTGGAGGCAGTCCAAGCCCCCTAGCTTGAGCCTGTTGCGGCACAGGCTGAGCACCTCAGAGGCAAGGGCTGAGGGCTTCACTGCCAGGGCGATCCATCTCGCCTCCGGCGGTTGGCGACACTCTATGTCGAGGCGCATGAACTGGGTCGGAAACGTCCCCCTCGCAGCCAGAGGGAGGCCCTAAAGGCCGAAAGGGAAGGGTCCAACCCTCCCAAGGCCTCGGTGGACGGCAAGCCGCCCAGAGTCCGCACCCCTCGAACTGGTGGCAACAGCAAAGGGGCGGCAAAGGCTGTGAAAGCCTCCACAAGCTCCACGGAGCAGCCCCCCGACGGCACCGACGGAGCCTCAGGAGCCCGAAGACCAGGAAGAGATGCTGCCCTGGTCCCGCCGTATCGTTCAGAAAATGACGGCGGTAAAGTCGTCGGCCAGGGCCAGGTCGGCCAACGACCCACCCAGCAGCCGACACGTTTTTTGCAGGACCTGCTGGCACAGCCAGTGAGTGGGATCCTGCTCCTCATAAGGCGCCACCTAAGCCCCGGGGCGTGAGACCCCGCCTGCTGGCCCCCCGGTCTCCTACGGCCCAGGGGAGGGGACCCAGAGGGAGGAGGGAGCCCCTAAAGCCCCTCCCAGCCAACCCAGTGCACCGAGGGTTGAGGAGCCTCCTCCCCTCCCTCCTCCTCCCCATCCTCCCGAGGGAGGAGCAGCCCCTCGCAAGAGAAACAGGGGGCGGCGAAGCGCCTTGCATCGGGGTTTTTCTTGGCACGCTCGTCCACATGCTTCCGGTAGGCCTGGACGAGGGCCTTGTCCTCCCTGTGGACGGAGGGCTGTTTGCCTCGCCCTTTTGAAGGGGTGGAGCGACCACACCCTTCAGAGGAGGCGGGTGGGACGTCCCTGGACCCGCTGGCACCGGTGTCGCCAGCCTGGTCGGTCCAGTCCCACTCTTCCCACCAACCTTGCCAGTCCTGCCACCCAGTGGTGGGACCATCAGAGCCGCCGGTATCACCACAAGCTCCCGAGGAGCTGTGACCGGCGGTCTGATCTGCTGAGGGCTCGGCTGGGGGCTCCCAGAAGTCAGCCCCAAACGGTTCTGGTCCGTTCCAAACCATTCGCCAGACCCATCTCCAGGAGTGGTAGCACCACCTCCTTTCCCATTCCCAGCCCATCTCGACAAGTGAGAGGGCTAAGGCCGGGGAAGCGAGAGGTGCTCGTGGGCCATGGCTGCAGCTACTGCGCTTAAGAGGCTTGGGGAAAACTGCGACTGAGGTAGGTGTTTGCGTCCCAGGTGACTAGGGGGAAAGGGCCCTAAAAGGAAAAGTGCCTACAAAGGCTACGGCTTCCCTAAGGCTTCCCACCTTGGGCCCAGAACTGCCGGAGCTTAGGTTGATTCACAGGCTTGGGCTTCGGCTTGGGCTTCGGGGTGGGTGCAGCAGACCCTTCCCCAACATCACCAACAGACACAGAAGCCTCGGGGGCCTTGGGTTGACCTGAGAAAAAAGGGGCTAGGGCGGAGGACTTGGAGCCTGAGGGTCTAGGGGCCCTGCTACTAGACGCGCGTGAGGGATTCCGCTCTCTCTCCACCGGTTTTTCCTTTTCCTTTTCCTTTTCCCGGTCGTGGTGCCTAGAGGTCTCTATATGGACCTCTCGCG